AAAAATTTACAAGCTTGTGTCGATATTAAAAAGTTATGACTTACTTGATTCCGGTCCTCAATCTATAAGGAAACCTTTGGAACAGAAGTCAATTAAGAACAAACAAAATAACAAAAAAACAAAAAATACTTTGTAAAACTAACAAAGCAACACAAAAAGTTCTTGCCCTAGTTTTAAGAGATATTGATCGCCAAGGAGACCTGCGCGAAGGTGAATTCCGATTCCCAGGAATCGAGAGTATGCAATTCGATTTGAAATCGAGAATTTCTGTATGCGTGTTTTGCAATCTATGCACAATTATATTAGCGGGTTTAAATAAAAAATAACACAACAAATGGGTTCAAACTTGGATATTTTATAATCTTTCACTTAATACTCTATATAAACAAATTTAAAATAAGAATTAGAATATTGGTAGATGAGGAAAAGCAATTGAAAATATAAAATAGAATAGAAAATAAGTTTATTCTGGGACGAAGTCACTTAATAATAACAAATTTGTACAAAAAAAAAAGAATATTTCTCACCAAATGATCTATTACCGTGAATAGAAAAAAAACAATAAGTTATCAATATGTATAGAAAACAAAAGAAGAATGTTGAAACTGTACATTAGCACTAAGCAAAAAATCCTAGGTAAGAAAAAAGTTTCAACTACAAAAAAGAAAAAGAAAATTTAATCTCCCAAAAAATTAAATTCTGGATCCAATACTGATAGTGTTGCCCAAATGCGAGACCGAGACGAGTCTTGGTCTTGCAAACTCAGTCTTGGTCTTGCGCAACAGTCTTGCAGTTACTTATTACCTTATTGCTATAGAGATATTACTGTAATTGTTTAGATAGGAGAAACCTAACTAAGCCCGAATGAAAAATAAGAGGAGTTAAATGCACAAATATATTGGTTATACCAATTATTGACATATAGTAACTAAGATTGTCAAGTATTAGTAACTATTTTGCCTTAATTTTTATTTAAAAAATCGATTTTTTTAACCAGTCCTGGTCTTGATCTTGCAACAGTTAGCGGGCCTTGGTCTTGATCCTGCATTGCAAAGTGCAAGACCAAGACCGATTTTGGGCAACACTAAATACTCATCTGCAGTAACACATTACCAGGAGTTTTATAGTTTAACATAGTTAATCCTTAAACTTTTGTAGATCCTACTAGAAACTACTAAAAACATTAGCATTCAGTATTCATCATTCAAATAAATATCATCTGATGTCGACAATTGAACGAATGATAGTTCCACAAGTACTTGCGACAATCCAAACTGGAAGATATAGACATTTATTATCTAGATCTGGAGGAATTTATAGAGATACTCTAACGTATATTGAATCAATTAGTATTTATTGGAAGAGGTTCCATTTCAATGCGTCCTTAATAAATGAAATTAAATTTTAACTTCTGTTTAAATCTTTGGGAAAGAATATTAGGATGAGTCAGTGGAGTACACAAAAGGGTATTTAAAATAATCTGTAAGTACAACTTGGAATCATAATAATTCCAACATCACTAGGCAAAAAACACAATAGAACTGAGCGGTTATGAATTTTTCTGTAAACGATAATTGCTTAGTTGAACTTTAAAATTACTTCAGCTCTCCTATGTATTTAGTTTACTGACTTTATTAGATAACAGATAACTAGGTTATAAGATCGATATTAAAACAGATTTGATTCAAATGTAAGAATTTATTATGACCCCTTTAGTTTCACGTTTAACATGTCCATATTAGTTTTAACATAAATAATATATAATATTAGGCCCAGCTAAAATAATTGTATTGTGTTTTCAGACCCATACATTTAACAATTATTTGTTATAGTAGTTGTCCTGTGGGAATAATTTGTATAGTATGTTGTTCAATGAACAAATAGATATATAATATGAAAATAAGCAAACATATTAGGAGGGGAGAGGAATTAATATTCTTTTCCTTGATCGATTACAAGGGTTCATTTAAAATAATAAACCAAAACTTCTGTGTATTACAATTGGCTGAGTCTTTGCTAAATATGGTTCCATTTCAATATTTATTTTTCGTTTTCTAAAAAAAGAAAACATAATACTGTCTTAACCATCATCGGTTTCATCATCAAAGACAGAATTGCATCTTCAATTTTTCAAGAATCTTTTTCCAGTAAAAAAAAAAATGATTTTATATTCCCCTTCTTGTAATATCATCCATGTTGAAGGGGTGACAAATTCGAAAGATCGGGTTTATCCCCTCCTCATCAACGTCATGAAGGGTTCCATTAATTTTTGCCGAAGCTATCATTCGCAAGGTGAAAAACATGAAATCTCAATACCATTAGGATTTCCATCATTTTTTTTATACTCCTCTAAAAAATCGTTTTTTACTTTTCCATTTTTATCATTACTTTCTTTGTAGACCATTGGTACCAAAGTACCATTTTTGTACTTTGTAGTATTTCAAAGAGACGAGCCACCCTAAAATCTCCATATCGGTGTCTGGAGCGTTCTATTCTTTTAAATTTCCTCAGCGCTGTTAAGCCTGGAAGTTGGAATCGAGATTTCATATTTTCCATACAGCGAGTGCTTCGGATTTTTTTTTTTAAATTAAATGAGTTATCTAACATTCTGTCATGTGGACAATGTTTATAGTTAGGTAACATTCACACTATACAGGGCGTTTCAGGATTAAGTGGCCAAACTGCAAAAATGAACTAAGGACATCAAAAGAAAGGAAAAAAAAATCCTCTGAAGATATGTCCGCAAACGCTTTGTTAAGGAGATATTCACACCTAACGATTTTCGTTGTTATGAATTATTTACATTATACGAAATTAATAAAACCTATTTATTTGTTTTAACTACTTTATGAATTAAATTTGAACATTAACATTCATATTAAATGTTGTTCAAAGTGAAGGTATGTACGCAAACGCTTTGTTTAGGAGATGGATTAGATAAAATACTAATATGGCTCTTTATCCCTAACTGTATAAAAACCATCGGCAACATAAGGATTAATACTATTTGGAATTAGCATTGGGAACTCTCAATAACATCAGTTAGTAAGAGATAATGGCTAAATTTTACTTATCACAATCAGTGGTTTAGCCGTGCAGGACCAGTGGCCTGGTCTGCACTCTTTCCAGATCTGACATCACTGGATTTTTTGGTTTGGGGTGACATTTAAAATAAAATGCCTATGCAAGTCCGGTCAATGACCTTAATTCCTTACGAAGAAGGATAAATAAATCTTGTGAAACAATAACACATATCCAGTGCCGTTCTGCCACTGCTGCTGTTGGAGAAAGATGCCGAGCCCGTCTTAATGCTCAAGGTAATCACATTGAACAACATTTAATATGAAATTAATGTTTACATTTAATTAATAAAGTAGTTGGAACAAATAAATAAGTTTTATTTACTTAATATAACGTAAATAATTCATAACAATGAAAAGCTTTAGGTGTGAATATCTCTTAAAAGAAACATTTGCGTATATACCTTCATAGGAATTATTTTTCTTGTTTTGAGGTCCTTAATTCATATTTTCAGTTTGGCCAATTAACAATGAAACACCCTGTATATACAGGAAATAAACAGAAGCATAATAACTGCTAAATAATAATCTAAAAGTATATACAATAAATAAAAATGAAATAATTTAAAGATAAGTAAGTTAAAAAAAAAAACACAGACAACATTTACAATCAGGAGAGGGAACTCCGAGGGAACTCCGTCAACTATGGAGGAAAGAGCAAGACTCCAAGAGATCCCTGCGCTACTTTCTCACCGCCTCACTGGTGCTTAAAATCCAGTGGAGAGGGAAAACGAGGTAAAAATTAATAAGGAACACCCTTCGTGAAGTTAATGTGAAGCAGGATTACTCAATGTAGAAATACTAATAATTAATTTGTCACTGTCAATAAGCTTTCAGAAATTTATTGTTTACATTGCTTGCTATTTTTTATTGTTTATATTTAGCAATGGGATGAGAGGGGGAAGGGGAGGAGTACCCCTATTCATATTTTCATCTGACCCGCCAGAAGCCATGAATCACTACGTCGAAGAGGATGAAGTTAATGTAGAATTTTTAATTATTACATTAATCTTAAGAAGGGTTTAATTCGTTAGAAGTTGACTGAGAGGAATCCAAAGAGATTGAGCGTTACATTTTAACTTTTTTTTCAAACAGTTTTTCCAAAAAATAATGCAAGTTTCATGTTTTCGTTGGATTAACTGTTTATATGACAGAATGTTTACGTTTGAGGGATTATTCTTTTGTATGTCTGTCAACATTTATTAATCCACTTATAAAAAAAAAGTATTTTAATCTTCTGCAGCATTTTACTAGTTGGAAATAATTCATTCTTTACCAAGATGTCAAAGCGTGATTTTCGTATTATTTCGTTTCACGAGCATTAACTCCGTCGGATTAGGGCTAAAAAAGCCAGATACATTGATGAAGTCTGGGGCGATGACAGTGTGGGTGAGACCACCGTTCACCATTCACTGATGGTTTAAATATTTTCGAGAGATTGACTACAGTCCTGAAGACAACGATGGTAGTGGTACCACTTTGGACACAGAAAATCCCAGAACAACTGTTTGAGAACTTGTAGAGAAACTTTTAGTTAGAAAATCGACCATAGCTGATCACATCAACGCAACTGGAAAGGTAAAAAAACTTGAAGCTTAAGTTCCTCGTGCATTGAACGACCGCCATAAAAAAAATGTTTTTAATAAATTTTTTGTTGCACTTCTTTGCCAAAACAGTAACAAGCCCTTCGTATCGTATCATTTATTTTAAAAACTTGCATTTTTCCGGACACTAATAGTTTAGAATAATTGTAATCTAACATTGATGACTAAATAATCTGGCACTACCCGGAGGGTTTCGGAACAAGGTTTATTTTGTAAGAGAACTACATCATCATGAGCTAAATAATGTTTTTAACAATATTTTGGATAAGGAGGCGGTAAGTTAAAAAATATTGGCCTGTATGGTGTAGTAATGTACATTATCATGAAGGTCTTGAGATGCATTTCCGGACGCTAACGACATGCCAACGATAACGATTGGTAAATAATGGGCCAAAAAAGTATCAGTAAACTGATCCTTTGATAAATTATGATAAAGGCAGAATAGCTATCGAGCTGTGAAGATTAATGATGGTCTGAGAAATGTTCATCCAAGTGTATAATTGAGTCAAGTAGAGGATCTAACCAGTCATAGAAATAGAGCAAGTTACAGTTACTGATTTGAGATAAATACTAAAATTATAATGTAATGGTCTTGAACTAAATAATTATAAAATGTAATATGAAATAAACGAAATTAAATTATTTCGAATAAGCTCAAGCTATTAAGTATTTTTAAACACATATTTCTTTTTTTTATTTATTTTTTTATCTATTTATTGAATAATAATACAACCAGCCACTGCGGAGGGCTATAAGTATTAGGGCTAAGAGTTCTCATTCAAACAATATATACAAATAATAGAGAAATAAATATAAATATAAAAAGTAAATAAATAATACTGATGAAGGAAGTAAATAAAAGAAAAAAAAAGTAAACAATAACATAAAATAGAAACTTCTAAGCACAATCATACCTATATACAATATATACATTCGCCCAGGAATCTCCGAGCCAGGCTTTTTCCCCCACATGTGGAAGGCAAAGCAAGACTCCAGGAGATCCCAGTGCCACTTTTCCAGCCGCATCACTAGTATTAGAAGCCAGTGGAGACTGAAAGAGGGCACTAGAGCCACAGACGCTCGGGACATGAGTGGAGAAGCTGGCCATTGCCAGGACTCCGGAAGCATATTTACAAGAGATCTCTGGGCCACTGACGTTTTAACCTTCGTGGAGGATAGTAGCGATGAAGGGAGCTGGATAGGGATTGAGCTAGAGGATTTGGATGATGAATAAGGTTCTGGTGAAAGTTTGAGAATCTGGATGGGATGATGTCGAGGACAAATGGGATGTTAAGGTCATGGTGTAGGGTCTTGTTTGTGACATAATATGGGGCATTCAATATTGTTCTAAGTACTTTGGACTGGAAGGATTGGATGCGTTTGATATTCGAATGTTTAGCAGTTCCCCACAGTTCAAGTCCGTAGGTCCAGATAGGTTTCAGTATGGTCTTGTAGATTAAAAGTTTATTTTCAATCGAAAGATGGGGTGTCCTACTTAGTAATCCATACAGCTGGCCATATCATCGGTTAAGTTCTTGTCTTTTAAGTCTGGTATGTGGGTTCCAAGTTAATCTTTTGTCAAGAAGGAAGCCAAGGTAACGGACTGTGTCTGAGTAGGGAAGTGGAATTGAATTAAAAAGGATTGGCGGACAGGATCTCCGTCGCAGGGTGAAAGTGATATGTTTGCATTTTGATTCATTGATTTTGATGCGCCAGTTGTTGCACCACTGCTCAATCAAGGAGAGGTGAGATTGTAGGTTTAGAGATGCTATTTGAGGATCTGAGTGGGAGGATAGAATGGCAGTATCATCAGCAAATGTAGCTAGAAATGTATCGGGATTTGAAGGGATATCGGAAGTGAAGAGGATGTAGAGAACTGGGCCCAAGACACTGCCTTGTGGAACACCAGCCTCAACTGGATAGTAAGTGGAGAATTCGGTGTCACAACGGACTTGAAAGGAACGATTTGAGAGGTAGGATTTGAGGACTAGGTATAAGGATTGGGGTAAATGGGTTTTGAGCTTGAAAAGCAAGCCATCGTGCCACACCCGGTCGAAAGCTTGTGCTACGTCCAAAAAGGCACCAGTGCAATAATGCTTGTTTTCAAGTGCAGAGGATATATGGTCCACAACACGAAGGCCTTGTTGGACAGTGGAATATCTTGAGCGGAATCCAAACTGATGAAAAGGGATGTTGTGGGATTCGATTATGGGTAGGATGCGTTTGAGAAGGATTTTCTCAAAGATTGTTGAAAGGATCGGGAGTAAGCTTATCGGTCTATAGGATGATGTGTTATTAACACGTTTACCTGGTTTTGGAAACAGGATGATTACGGAATGTTTCCACACCAAAGGAAAGTTGGTTGTACGAAGGATGCAGTTGTATAGATAGGTAAGGAATATGATTGCTTTTTTGGGAAGTTTTCTGAGGATTTGTGAAGTGAGGAGATCATATCCAGGGGATTTTCGGGGTTTTAATTTGTTTATAAGGAATTTGACCTCAGAGGGGTTAACAGATTTTGGAGGTAGAGAGAGAGGAATTGGTGAAGAGAGGAATTCTTCAACGTCAGCAGTGTGGGTGGGATGGAGTTCGGGATGAGGGGTGAATGTGTAGGATAGATGTTTAGCAAACTCTTCTGCTCTATTCGCATCTGGCGAAGCCCAGGAACCATCATCATGACGAAGTGGATGGGAAATGGACTGGAATTTAAGGATTTTTTTTGGTTATATTCCAGAGGGAGTTATCACTAGCGGATAATGAAGAGAGGTAGGAATTGTAGGATTGGGTTCTAAAAGTATCCAGTTCCTTTTTTACCTGTTTGGAATAATAATTATACGATTTCCGGTCATCAGGATGTCTGGTTCTTTGCCAAAGGGTCCTAGAGCAACGTTTGCTATGGATTAGGTCCAGTAGGTCTTGAGGTAGAGGATTTATGTTATGGTATTTTTTGGGACGATCAGGTGAGGATGCAGTCCAAGCTGCTTGCTGGATCAGGGTAGTGAAGGAATGCACTGCATCGTCGAGGTCTTCAGGTGTTTTTAAGAAAACTCTGAGGTCTATATTATCTTCCAGTATTTGACGGAAAAGGTTCCAGTTAACTGGCCCCCTGATAAATGAAGGTGGGGATGATTTGGGAATGGGAGATGTGGAAACGGTTAGGACTAGAGGACTATGGTCTGAGGAAAGATCATCAAACCTTGAAATAGAACAGAATAGTGATCCTAGACCTTTGTGGAGGAAAAAGTCTAGAAGGTCGGGATTGCGGTTGGGATCTGTTGGCCAGTATGTGGGAGTATTAGGTGAAAGGATGTTGCTGCGATGGGAATTAGTGCAGATAGCAATGTTCGCCTTCGGGAATTTGTGGATATGGCTCCCCATTGCTGGTGTTTTGCATTTAGGAATTCAGGAAGGAAATTTTTTGGGATTCGGAAATGGGTGTTTTAGGCGGAGAATATGCCACAACTAGTGTTATTGGGTAAAGGGGTGTTTGGATTATTACGGCTGTGGGTTGTAGGAAATTGTGGCTTGGTAAGGGAAACGGATCGATGGATAATTATAGCAGTGCCACCATGTGCTGTTCCATCAGGATGGTCGGTTCGATAAATATTGTAGCCGGGCATGTCGATTTGTCGTTTGTTGGTTAGTCGAGTTTCAGTTATTAGTGCTATGTCGATGTTTTTGTCATGTAATAAGATTGTCAGTTCGTTGCTGTGGTTCCGAATACCATTCGCATTCCAAAGGAGAATGGAGAGGAATTTGGTTGAGGACATTTATGGATTTCTTGGCAGTGGAATGAGGTTGGATATAACATTGGTAAGTAGCGAAATAAGAGGGGTAATGAGAGATCTAAATTCGAAAAGGAAAGATGTCAGTAGGCTTGTGAGGTCAGTGGAATTGGAAGGAGGAGGAATGAATGTATGGTTATTTAACCTACGGTCAGGGATGGAGGGATATGGGTCTTGAGGTTGATGTGTGAATTCTTAAGGTTTAGTTTCTTGTTGCAGAGCCTGAGATTGAGTGTTTACAGTGTCTCCTTTGAACATCTGAGCATAGGACACTGTTCCGTTCACTGTTCTAGAGGGTTGTCTTGGTGGCCTGGATGTCCCTTCTTCTCTATGCGTTGCGTACATTCGTGTTTTTTAATCTTTGTATGTTTGACAACCCTTGTAGTTGGCTGGGTGTCCTTGGTGGCATAAAGCGCATACTGCAGGTGAAGTTCTAGACTCCCTACAGTCCTCTGTTTTGTGTTGCTCACCATACCTCACACATCTAGGAATGTGATGGCAATACTGTTTCGTATGGCCATAAGCCTGGCAATTATGGCATTGAACGATGTCGCGCTTGCTGTAGGGCTTTTTCTTCAACAACGCTTGTATAATAAAGGCGTGTGACCTTGTTGATGTTTTCGACATCGGGTGTTCGGTCAAGGTCAACGGAGAATAGTGGAAGAGGAATTTTATTTTTTATTCCAGGCTGTTCTCTATCCTCCTTAAATATGTTCACTATCTGGCGAACATGGAATCCCATATCCATGAGCTCTTATTTTATAGCATCTGTTGGCGTAGATGGGTGCAGTCTTCTGATAACGACCCTGAGCGCCCTCTCTTGACGCAGTTGATACGTGTGGTAATCAGCCTAGGTGTCAGATAAATATTTTATGATTTTTCTATAGGTTTCTGGAGTGTCGGGCATTAACTTAGTGTCATTGGTGCGGCTTTGGCATAAATATTTTCCTGAACCTACCAGATTATTCAATTGACGACACATCAATTGAAAATTTTTAATATTTCTAACAAATATTGGTGGGGGTTTGGGTTCTCTGGGGGTGGATGCTGCTTCCATTTGTTCGTTATTTATATTTGAAAGCACTTCAAATGGATTCGAAGTGAAAAACGGCGATTCTTCGCCCATAGCTTGAGTTGTCTCACAATTGTTAGGTTGTTGTGAGGAGCCAGGTTAGGGTTCAACTTCTTCTATGGAGCTCTTTGGTGTGGCTGGTGGAGTGTTTCTTTTCGAATGCCTTGTCTTTTTTTTAATGGGAGAACTCATTGTAGTATCGAGGCTCCTGGACCTAGTGTATTTGCCCTTACTCGACATTAGCATGTGATAATATCGCATTTCATATTAATTTTTAAAAGAAAAATTGATAAAAGTGAAGCGAGGAAAACAAATTTTTTTTATTGAACACGAAAATATAGACGCGCTCTTGGAGAGCACAGATCTGCCTAAGACGGAGGGATCTAGCCCACTAGTGGGATTAACGATGTATATGGCTGTCCGTTATCTAACTAACCTAAGGTCTTTTTACACTGTTCACTCTTGTGTTGTAAATAAGTGATTACTCGCCTTATTTTTTTGTCC